AAATATATTGAGTGATTTAGAACCATGTTATCTCTCCTTTGCCAGAATTCTGTGCCCTTGCGTTGTTTTGCCAAAGTCCAACTCTAAAGCTCTTGAGATGTTGGATAACATGAACAGAATTTATCAGGTGAGCAAACTCCTCCATCGGTAAGATTACGTCCCTCTCCATCCTCAGGCTCTGACACCTTCTCTCTCTTTCTCTAAGCGTTCTCTCCATGAGCTCGTGGAGTCCGGCCGCTACGACACTCGCTCAGACTTCACCGTGGTCATCCAGCCTTTCTTCAGGGACATCGTTGTGCCCAGACTGCCGGTAACAATGATCACTCAAAACAAATCTCTCTGAGAATTTTCCCACAAAAAAAGCAAATGTATTTTACTTGTAAGTTTTATCTTAAATTTGTTGTTTGAGGTATTTGGAAACCATTCATTGGCAGCTCTATTTTTTATTTCATGCTCTGGCAGTTTTTTTTTTCTGCATCTTGCACCGTCCTGTGTCAGATTGGTCAAAATACGTGTACAACTTACTGCTCCGATCGATGAAATAAACATTTACTGTACCTTCTCTGCAGGATGGTCGTCCTGATCGCTCCTTCTTCAGTGCCGACTGCTTCCACCTCAGCCAGAAGGCCCAAACACTGATGGCTCGCTCCCTCTGGAACAACATGGTAACTCTCAGACAGACAAGAACACACTTGTACACTATTACATGCCACTCTCACTTTGTTATGGATGAATTTAATTTAATGTTTTGTCAGTAAATTCTTAAGTAGCGAGATCAACATATTCTTGCACAGGATCACAATAATAATACTAATGTTATATTAATGTACCACAATATTAAATCAATTCAAATTATACTCACTGTCACTCTGACTCCTGTTTTCCCAGCTGGAACCTCTGGGCAACAAAACGTCCCAACAGGATTTCTCTGCAGATATTGACCTGAATTGTCCAACCAAGGTAAAACATTTTGATTTAACTGAGAATTGAACATAATGTGTTGTTTCACGTCTCCTGGTTTCTCTAATGTTCCGACTGTGAGGAAACAAAACACTGAGAAAAGATTGCAAACATAGGGTTTGATTGAATGTAGCATCTTTCTATATTTGGAAGCTGCCGTGATATAATGTTTTTTCTTCTCTCTCTGTTTTTTTGCAGACTTCACCGTATATTCGCACCTTTAACAACAGCCATTACAATTACACTGGTCCCTCCCCAGCACCTGGACCCATTACAGTAAGCACCCCCCCGTCAGAGGAGAGGACGAAAAGTGATTTGTTACAAAGGTTGAAAATTAAATTTTTGAGATGCTCTTCACAAAGTGAAGATTTAAACTACAAGCTGAATTTGGGCTCTAAGTCGCCGGTTTGACAAAATAATCAAAATGTTTTTTCACTCAAATAAATACATTTAATGAAACTAAATTGCTGCAGCCACAACACAAACTCTACCATTATACAAAATAAACAATAAGATGTGTCGGCACTAAACTCACGGTGTGAATGAAGTAAAGTTCACCACGACATTGAAAACCAATAAGGGAAACTGTCATATTTCGGATTACCACATTAATTAATATTATTTATCAATTTTCTATCACAGAAAAATACAACGGACAAACTCCTGATGTTTTTTGTCCGTTTGATAGAAACATGCACAACACGAATGATTTATTTTTCAAGAAACTAATGAACCAAATGTATTATTTTAGGAATAAAAACATAGCTTTTGCCTTCTGTCCTCTCCAGAACTGGGGAAGTGACTTCTCCTGTGTGGACCTTGTTCCATCCGACACCATCCCGACTTCAGGTGAGACGATAGTCATCAGCTTATTATCAGCAGACGGTCGATATGCGGCAATAAGTTGAAATGAAGAAATGGTGGCGTACAACTACAAACTGTCAGTGAAGTGCTGGAATGAAAATCAACCACGAACAAGACTGTAATGACACCCAGATGATTTAACAGATAATCATACGCAAAGTAAAATACATGGTGGCTTTAAACTCTGTTTCCCCATATACTGAAGGAGCTGGTAGAAATAAACACAGGAAGGATAATTGTGAATATCTTGATGTTGAATCTCTTCTTTGTGTTTTATCTGTAGTTCACAAGCTGAGACCGGCTGACATCATGGTGGTGGCAGCGCTGGGAGACTCTTTAACGGTAAAAGTCACAGCACAATGATTTTTTTT